AAGGGAATTTTAAGTCCTTAAATACAGACCAGATAGTCCAACCACCACCATAACAGCATTTCATGTGACATTTCAGAATTAGCTCTGGTAAATGCTTGAGTTTCTTTTCTGCTTAGAATTTCCTGAAGTACTTTACTTCTCTCCATCCTAGTCAGTCACTGAAACCCAGTGTTATACTGAGCTTTCAGCTTAAGAAAGCACTAAATCATATTGAAATTAAGCATATGAGTGTCTTTTCCTGACTTTCTAAGATTATTTAACCACTGTCAGTTGCCTGAGGCAGAACATCACAAACATATTAGCAAAGTCAAATCAGGATTTGTGTCAATTTTTCCTGTCCTAACCCTATGAATCTGAATTCCTAAGTACTCTTAAGATGCAAATTTGAACTTTGACACTGTAATGTAGGAGCAGAAATGAAAAAGGTATTACCATAGGGACCCAGTTCTAAAAGCAGTAAAGGAAGCATAAATCACCTTTTGCCCTCAGATAATTTTTCCTACAGTACACTTCATCAGTATCCTCTCAAAATTCAGTATAGAAGAACTTAAAACAATGTAGTTTACAGAACTACTATATCTGAGTCAATTTGTGTCAGCAAGATCACAAAAAGAACAACTAAATAGAACACAAAAATAACAACCAAAACAGAAACCAATCCTAATTTGGCAGGCATGGTTTCCTGGCCTTCTGAAAATACTGGCTTGTCAAAAGAAATTTGAAAGAAACTCTGAAAACATTGAAAAAATTCAAGAATCATCAAGTTGCACAATTTGGACCCCATTTTAAGATCTAAGCTGCTCCAGAATACTCCTGGTGAGCATGGAAATCTTGCTTAGAACTAGTCAATCTAATTAGGAAAAAAATAATTTCAATTCCAACTCTAAGCTGGTGACCAAAAGAAAGAAACAGATTCAATTACAATCAAGCGATACTCTTGCAATCAAATGACTTCACAAGAATTAGCTCTGCCTTAGAACATATTATATTCATTTTCCTAAAGCTCTTATTCTGTATTAAGCACAAAAATTCAAAAACATACAGACATTTAGAGGCTGAACATAAATACTCCTCTGATTTTAACATAAATATACCATCCATCTTATTGAAAGGAAGTAAAAGCAGAAAAAACTATTGCAAAATTATCAAGACAAGTTCTTGCATACTGGGCAGCTTCCTCAAGAAACAGAACAGATGCAAAAGGTAACCAGTTCTGTTATATATTGGGAAGATAAAGGAACATGAAAAATGGGACATGGCATCTTCTTTTGTCCATTATTTTTTTATTTAGAGCTGTCATACCATTATTTCAAAAGGAGTTGATCAACAATAACTGTGCTCTTCAGCATGATGGTATGAGCTTTCAGAGGAAATTTATGCAGAAGGAGTTTGAGCCTTTTGCTTCACTTACTCCAGGCTCTCTGGAAGTTCCCAAAATTGTCAGGTAGCTTCCATATTATAACTGATCTACTTACTGCCCTTCCACTGTCCTGCCAGTAATAGTCAAAAAAGCCAAATCTCTCACTGCTTGCCAGCTTGGTAAATATCAGGCATGGATCTCGCAGCTCTTACCAAGAGCTTAGACTCTTGGTGCTTAGACTCTCAGGCTGGTAACCTCCAATGCCCTCTGTGATAGCCACAGAGAGAAATACACCCAACCAGCAGGTATCCCAAACAGTATATGAAACAATTATTGGATATTTACTGTATAGGTTTCAGATCATCAAAATCTTGAGCATTTTTACTGTAACTATTGCCCTACAAGTATTAGGAGATGGATGTAACCACCCCAGTTTTCAACTCCTGCTGCAATGTTCTGCAGACAGTGTGATATGCTGAACTTACTAATTAATTGCACATCAGAAAATACTTTCCATGGAACTGCAAACATAATTCCAGATTGCTGCAACTCTCAAGCCATCTTCTTAGTTGTTCTTCTCAGGTCATGGAGGCAACAATGGCATTGATTCTTTCTAAGTACAACACAGGAGACTGGTATGGCTACGGTAAGCACAGGGAAGTTTTTTAGAGAAGTTTTGCACATAGTGTAAGGATGAAGCTATCCAGCTGAGCTCCATACCCCAGGTCCAGTCCTGCATGGCCAGAGGCACCAGATGAAAAAACCATGGACTGAATAAGCAAATTTCTCAGGTGCGTGGAGTCGCTCGTTACTGGGCTCGAACGAGGAGATGACATTGTTCTGCACAAAAACAAGCGAGGGCTGAATTGCAGAAGAGCATGAAGTCTGAGTCCATTTACAGTGAGAGACTTCCTGGCTGGTTTTGTGATTTTAAATTTGAGAAGACAACCAATTTGTTCACATTAATATGCGGAGGGTTTGCAAATCAAGGGACTTTTCATGTTGAGGCTTATCACTAAAACTCATTGCAAGAATAACACAAGAGAAATTTAAAAATATGAAAAATGAATCATGAACAAATGCTACAACATAACATTGACTAAACCAAGGTCTCTGTCTTCCTTGCAGGACCCCTTCTTCATTAAAATAGGAAATAGATTCTTTGCATAGCTAATTATTCAACAGTGACTCATTTCAGAAAATCTTTGTTATTTTTACTTCCTCTGAAGTGACTGAAAGTACACAGCCAAATGTATCCATAGTCATTAAGTGTTGTAAGAAAGAAATGTGAATTGGGCAAATATAAAGAACAGGAGAAGCAAAATTAGGAGACAAGAAATTGCAGAATAAAGGGGGGAAATCTTTGGATGATGCAAATTAAATTTAAAAAAAAAAACACTTTAATAGAATACCAAAGAACAAGATTTTCTGTACTTCCACTTTTTTGTAGAATGAAAAAAAAAAAAAAAAAAAAAAAAAAAAAAAAAAAAAAAAAAAAAAAAAAAAAAAAAAAAAAAAAAAAAAAAAAAAAAAAAAAAANAAAAAAAAAAAAAAAAAAAAAAAAAAAAAAAAAAAAAAAAAAAAAAAAAAAAAAAAAAAAAAAAAAAAAAAAAAAAAAAAAAAAAAAGTTTAATGGACAATACCTCAAAGGAAATCTGAAGTCTCTGGAAAAGCTGGGTAGGATCACCAGTAAATGTGAGTCTGAAGCCATGAGCATTTTAGCTTAGAAAATGTGAAATGGTGGAATGAATTAGAAAAAAAAATAGCCTGCATTAGGAAAAAAACCAAAATATTATACTTCAATAAACTTGTTCAAAAGTTGACTAACACTACATTCACAAATGATTTACAGAGAATCTCACAGATTAAACAAAATCTCTACTAACTGAAAATTACTTTCTAAAAAAGGTTTGGACATTTTCTGCAGTAAAAAGTAGAATATTCTAACAACAGCATATGTGGGTGGTTACGAAAGAACATTGGGTACACTCTCAGAAAAAAAAAATGTAGGTTTAATTCTCTTGGAAGAAATATTATATGCAAATTCTCCACAGAAACCTATGTCTTGCATATTTTCATTATGAAGTTTGTATTAGTCAGTCTGAACATGCTATTGTACCTGACCACCCTCACAGACTGTTCTTTGAACAGCTGTATTTTAAGGCAATGGGTATTGTATCTTTTTGGGCAAAATATAAAATGTGCTATTTGAAAAAGGCTGTGTTGCTTGCAAAAATTAAGTCTATTCAAAGGAAACAGAAGGCAGTTCAGAATCTGTGATCCTTACATACAAATGGCGTGGAAATTTGAGGTTAGACAGAGTGGGTAGGAAGCATCCTGTACTCACAGAGCATTTTCCATTGGTGTGTGGCACTCTTATTACCTTTCTGCTTTGAGGAAATAAAAACATGTCCTGCTTGTAAACAGACCCCATCTCATGAACAGTTATGTCACAAGCACTTTTCTACCCTCAGCTAAGGTGTAGAAGGTTTTTGTGGTAGAAAACTGTCAAAATTACTATAACAATCTCAAGAAAACAGAACCTTTGTTTCTCAGCAGCAAGCCAATGCATTTCAGCTGAACATTTGTTGTCAAAGAGTTGTCAAAGATATCTGCTTGTCATTCATTCTCTTGCCACATAAAACACCAGCCAAACAAACATTTTGGCAGGACAGTCACAAGTCAGGACTGACAGGTAACCAATAGTCTTTTGAATTTACAAGATGATTTGGGTTAGACAGCACAGATTCTCTAAAACCACAATAACTTCAAACAGCAGAATCACATTGCTTTGTACAAAAGCAAACGCAGCATTTCTATGTTAGACACACTCCAAATCAAAATTTATAGGTATGTCCTGTAGGTAGGGCGTTCACAAACGTGTTGAACACATTTGTCCTGGAAACACATTGTAGAATGGCTGCTATAGAAAGAGATTATCAGAATTTCAACAAAAACAAAAAAAAAAAAAAAAAAAAAAAAAACAAAAAAAAAAAAAAAAAAAAAAAAAACACTCAAAAAAACCAAACTTTGGGTGGGGTGTGCAAAGAAAATCTGAATGTAAAAGATCCTCCATTGCTGTCACTCCACTTTCAGAGGTACAGGTGCAGGGTCCAGTATGTTTTAACTGTTCTCAACTTCTTCCAATACTTTTTAGAACTGAAGCATCTAAGGAAGTAGAATTGCAAATATTTTATAAATATTTATCAATCAAACCCAGCAGAAAGGGAGATAGTGCAGATTTGTTCTGATAAAAGCACAAATGGCAGAACTACTCCTTAGCACTAATTCCCAGCAGCAGCATTCTACGAACACGCTGTGTATGTCTTGGCAAAATTCACTGGAAGCTATGTAACACTTTGCATGGCTAACAAAAACTTCTGTGCTTGACATGAAAGATAATGTTTCCTGGTTTACACAGTACTTCTTTTTCCACAATACACACAACCTACAAAAGAAGTAGTTTTAAGCTCAGGAACAATTGCATTACATTCTCCCTTTTAAACAAAAAAAACCCTTTTTTCTAAGTTAGAACATGCAGGTTAAATAAATGTTTTAGTGTTCAATTATCTAAATTTTCATTTGTGAAATGAAGACATCACTTCCATTGTTAAAGCATCAGCAGGAAAACCTTTCTTACCTTTTTTAAGGTGGGGTGTGGTATTTTCTACTTCCAGGCAGTCTTGCACTCTCTCTGAAATGGGTGTTTTTCTTTAATATAAGTGATCAGAAGTCAGGATATGTTGCTAGGGACCAGAGGTTGACATTCTCCCAGGCTGCCTAGGTATAAGTGGAAAAGAAAGAACTTTAGTTCAACTTTTCTAGGCAAACCTGAGAGGGTTTTGTGTTTTCACTCTTCTGAAGGGTGCTTATAAGCCGAGCAATTCTTGCCTGCCACATCTCTTGTAAATGGTTTGAGATGTCTGCAGACTAAAGAAAAAACAAATGAGAAAGAAAGAAAAGATATTGCAACCTGAGAAATTTTTCATTAGCTTTGGATTTCCCTTTGAGACTTTTGTACAAAATGGTCTTTCTTTCCTCCTTCTAACTAGCGAAATGGCAGCACTTTTTTATTTTTCCTTCCTGCAGTTCTAAATAAGTTATTTCTGAAGAAAAATATGTCACTGGTTTTACTGTAGTTTGTCTGAAATAAAAATGCCATATATGACTCTCTTAAAATGAAAACCAGAAAACTTCTAAAAACTAAGCTTATAATATCCTTGGTTTTCCCTCTACTAGAGTATGGAGAAATAAGTTTTAACTATTTTTCTGGCAAAAGATAACTAAATATCTTTTTTAAAATTAAAAACATATCTACTGCAAAAAACTTAAATTAATCTATTTGAATAACTGCAAAACAGGAAAAATTTAAAGAAGTGAAAACAACCTGCAAAATTGACCAAAGCAGCTAGTTTTTTGACAGATTTTTTTTTTCTTCTCATTTCACTATTTCAAAACTAATTTCAAGTTCTACTTTGAAAAATTTACCTGTAATTTTATGATTTTGATATATTATTCAAAATTTTAATCAAAAGTTTTTTATTCTTTTTGGGGATTTTTATGCTTCCTTTTACATATAACTAGAAGGATCAGACAGGGAATTTGTAGCAACTATACTATTCCTAGACTCTATCAGTTATTAAATAGCATTTGCTATGTTCATTCATCCTTACATCCTTAGGCAGCCACAAATAAGAGTATTTTGTTGTAACAATATAATTACTGTATAGGCTAAATTACGCCCCATTTGACAAGACAAGAGTAGGTGTATATTTGGTTCTTGGTAATCAGATCAAACTGCTTCCAAGCATTAAATTGTTACTGCTAAAGTTCAAGGACTAAATGTTGGTGAGGGCTCTCAGGCTGCCAAGACACATGATCTAGAATTGTACTTTTGCTAGGAAAGGTACCTGAACAAAGCAATCTGTTTAAGCTAAGAAATGAGAAATTAGCACTCAGTTGACTCTGCACCACTCATAATATTCAGAATGTCTTGACAGTGTGAACGAGGGATCAAAAAGCAATATGAAAACATCCTGAGCATGCCAGGCCAATTCTAAAAAAGAAAGAAAAGTACTCCTAATGTATATGACAAAATTTTAACATCTCAAACTGGTGCTTGTGTGTAACTTGGTACATCAGATGTTAAAATGTCATATACACACATCAACCTCTAATCTAATTCTCACTTGCAGACTCAGCACTACCCTCTTTTTTTTGGGCACAAGATGCAGCATTCACAATAGGATGTGCAACGGTCTGAGCATGGAAAGTTTGTGGTCTGCATCAGGTCAATGTAGTTCTGGCAAAACAGGTAGGAATACATTTCCTTTGTCACCAGAAAACATCCCCCAGTAATCCACTGCCAGTGCAAAGATCTCTCTTAGTTCATAGCTTTAAATCCTGCACGCACCCAAAATGCCTGACACAGCCTCTCTGGTGTCCCTGCCCTGCAGACATCGTGCTGTGAACTGGCAGAGCAGAGAATATCTCTCAGTGTGCTAATTTCACATGTTTCCCTGCCCTTTCTGCACCACAGTGACTTATGGCAGTGGCTATGGCATCACAGAAACCAGGAGTTCAGTGAACGTGCAATGACGAGCCTGCTGTAACTGAGAGACTTCACGTCTGGTGCCTTGCCTGCATCCCAAGGGAACCAGAAAATCTACCAGTCCATTAGAGAGAGCCAGTTTTCAGTCTTCTGGGTAAGATTTGGAAGCATGGGAGCAATGGGCCAACTTCTGAATTAGTTTATTGTTCTCAAAAATCAGAATTCAAAGCACTTCGGACTCCTGGGTATAAAACAGACCTTCATTGTTCAAGGTGCAAGAAAAAGAAATTTTGCACAACCGGTGTAAACTACTAAGCTCAAGATGTGTGCAAGAAGATGCCCTGGCAGTAATAGACAAACAGAAAAGGTCTTCCTTTTATTTACTAACGCTCTTTTAATTCTCAGGGGAAGACATGAAGATGGATGGATTTGGAAACATTTCAATGAAAAGGAAATTCCTGAAAACAGGCCAGCATGGAATATTTGGATCCTGAAAGATTGTTTAAGGAAACTATTCTATACAGTCCTTTTCCAGTACACCATAAAATTGAATGCAGAATTAGAAATACATATTTCCAACACAGAAAGCTAAGCAAATGCACATTCTGCATACACTTAGGGAAAACTACTACAGTAATAAGTACCTGATAGAAGCAATGATGCCAGACCCGTGCAATTCTGAGCAGAACAGAAATCAGGAAATAATATGTAGCCTCAGGTTTCATTTGAGAACACAGACCTCTACGTTGTGCATTTTATCTTTTCACAATCTACACTCTACCTCAAGACATAATAATAGTACAAAACCTTAGAACAGAGAAAGGCCATTATAAAGCAAGTCCCTGAAAATACCTACTGTAAGCCTAGAGTTACAAGTGGTAAATTGATCAACTGGTCTATTTTCAGCTTCTCAGACAATAGTTGTTCTTGTACTTGGTCCACATGGTTTCTACTTTGCCACAAAACACAAGACCAGTAGACAATTAAGCATGGCAAACTATCAAATATTTGTCCATTAAAGGACCCCACTAGATCTTTTCACCCTGCTTATTAAGTCCCCATTCTGCTAAAAACATGTTTCAGCTTATCAGGATAAGTGAGTAACAGTCCAAAAGGAAATATAGTCAGCATATCACAGGTAAATATAATCAACATACTCACAGAATATTTTTTTAATGCAAAGGAAGCCTGTGATTTAAAGAATAAAAAATATCATCAGACATAAAAAACCAACAGCAACTGCTGAAAAAATCAGAAGAGTGTAGAGATACCTGCCCATTAAAATACTGAAAATTATGACTCAATTTCTCATTTAATGAATAAGAACCCTCTATGACTTGAATGGTTTCTTTAGAACATAGTACATCTCTCCATTACTAGAAACAGGGCTAGCACATTTTAAAACTTGATCCTCAAATTAATTTTAATAACATTTAAAATTAATGCATTTAGTACGCAGTTAAAATATATGGAATATCAGTTAAAACATACATGTTTTCCAGACTACTTACTGATAAAAGCTTACAGTGAGTAGTTAGCTATGAATCCTAAAACCATATGGGTTATGGTTTGGATCAGAAGGGACCTAAAGGTCATCAAGTTCCAGCTTGATGCCATGGCCATGGGCAGGGACACCTTCCACTAGGCCAGGTGGCTCAGAGCCCACTCCAACCTGGATGTGAACACTCCCACAGGTGGGGCATCCACAGCTTTTCTGGGCAACTTCTTTCCATGCCTTACCACCTTCACAGTGAAGGCTTTCTATCCAATATCCAATCTAACTCTTTCACTTTAAAGCCATTCCCCCTTGTCCTGTCACTACATGGGACCTTGCGAAAAGTCCCTCTCCAGCTCTCTTGCAGGCCCCCTTTAGGTACTGGAAGGTGCCCTAAAGTCTCCCTGAAGCCTTCTCTTTTCCAGGCTTAACAGCCCCAGCTCCCTCAGCCTGTCCTCATAGAGAGGTTCTATGGAGTAGGAAAAGCAGAACAATTGAGTAAAACACTTTCAGCATGGTCAGGCTTAGGAGAGAAATTAGTACTACAAACTGTTTTATTAGCAAGTTATAGTATATTTTGATATCAAGGTTTAGCTTTAAATTAAATCCAAAACTAAAATGAACACTCATGCACTTCTTTGGTGGCCACTAAACCTTAATTTCTCTGTGCCAGATACTGAGCTTGTTTTGTGTTGCACATGGTACAAATCCATTGCTTTGGATTGCTGCCTTTGATAATGCATCATTAGTATCCACAACTGCTCAAAGCAGAGAAAATAAACTCCAGAGATCATATTAGATCAGATTAACACTTTATCACGGTACCAAACTTGGGTTTTCCTCTCCAGCCTCTGCAGTATCACAATTCCCAAACACGCATGTTCACACCCGCACACAGAGCTTTAGAATGGCAAAGTTTATTACTTACATCATTACTTCCTTCCCAAAATCAGAGGTTTGGACTGTTCAAGGGGAATGAATCCCCTCATTGCAAATACCAAAACTCATTAAAGAAAAAAAATGCCAGCAGTTAGGATCTGGCCTGCCATTTCTTAGGTTCCTGCAAGTTACACATTCCTTAACCAAAACATATATAGGAGTCAAAAGGGGCTACCAGGACACCATTAAATGTACCTTTCCTATCCATCCCTCCAAATATAGTAGCAAATTATGTTTTTACTCTATATGCAGAAAAAAGTTTCCAAGCATGGTGGGCAAAATGTATGCTCACTTCTCAGCCAAAATTAAACTCACATGTTTTCATGAGCTAAGTAAGAAGTTAAGCATTCAGAACTAGTAATTAAAAGATATGCAAATAACAGAAAATATAAAAATCACATTTAATAAATAATATCTCAAAAAGGAGCACATGAATTCTGGCATAAAAAGAGGTTTGGTAACTTAGCATGCCTATTATGATTAACATGTATTGTGTTACATGTATTGTGAACTCCAGGGTATCACAAAATGTTTTTTAATTCATACAGCTGTTTGATGGAAAAACAAGCAGTAAAAATGTTTTGCTCCCAGTCTTCAATAGAGATAGGAGTGGCAGAGGTGGGAGTGGAGAATTCTCCCAGATCTCCTTATACTGTTATTTCCAGCCATGCATTGCAAGGAATCCTCTTCTGAGCTGCAAACCCAGGAAAAAAAAATAAAGGAAAAAAAATGACCAAAATCTCTGAAAAAGATCTGAGCTGACTATCAGCAGTATTCTGCAAGCCTGTATGTCTG